GCCGGGAGGCAGGGTCCGGGACAGGCGGTGGCTCGCCTCGCGGCGGACCGCCAGCCCACTCCCGAGATCCATCTACGAGCTTTTTAACTGCAGCAACTTTAATATACGCTATTGGAGCTGGAATTACCGCAGCTGCTGGTAATAATAATTATTGCATTAACCAAAAAAAGACTTCAGCTAAATATTTAGTTAAGGTATGAATTCTTATGCAATGTACTTATTTCAGTTTTTTTATTTTTTATAAATTTACGAAGTTGTGACAATTCTGTTTTTGCTTTGTCAGTATGGTGTATGGAGTGTAGCTTGATGTGGAAAAAAGTCATTTAAAACAGTTTAACATAAGGCAGAAACATAACAAATGTGAAAAAAATGAATACTTTTGCAAGGCACTGTATATACTCACATACACACACACACACACACACACACATATATATACTGTATATATTATATTAATAAATATATTACATATATTAATACATATTTATAATCTATATTAATCAAATAATGCTTCTCCTTATTTTTGCAATGATTAAGATATGACACTTTCTTCTTGCAAAATAATACGTTAACTCTAAAATAGCACGTGCTAAATGTTTTCAAACAATGACATGACAAATTTAACCACCACATGATCAATAAAACACTTCTATCACAATTAGAAATGTTTTTTTTCTTAAAATACATTAAAACATCAGTGCATTATCATCAAACTGCTATCATTACAAAATATTAATGTATACCTCATCCCTCAAAGACTCCCAAAGACATTCAAAGCACTTTGAAAGGACAGAACGTTTTTGTTACTGATCACGTTTGCTCTTTTCTTTTGGTTTGATAAATGAGCTTTGCTGGACTGCTATTAAACTGGCTGTCTAACTTTTTAGATGGCAGCCAATTTAAAACCTGTATAACAACCTCTGAGATTTGACCCCGTCAAGACACGTATGCAATAATTCATAATCTGTGCAATAACGATTCTGACCTCTTCATGAATTAAAATGAGACTGATGTTTTGGGGAATTCACTGAGATACTTGAATCAAAAAAGCTAGAAGAAAGGAAAAATAGATAATACTCGTTAAACTTGGCTCAGTCACTATTTCTTTTCTGGGCTGCCTGTTTCATTAACATTGAGAACATCTATTTTTATCACAACAGTGTAGATGGTTTTTATCTCCCTGAAGTGGAATATTTGATGTAGCCATGGATACCATGGATATGTAAAAGCAATGTGTAAACACTAATGAGAAATAATTATGACAGGATGATTAAAACTCAGCAGTTCTCATTATTTCTCAAGGCCCACAAACACCTGTACAACCGTTTTGTGAGACATCTGTTGTGCTTGTTTGGTATCTATGGGTGGGTTTAATTTTGTATTGATGATTTAATTTTGATTTGGGTTCTGGTACTGTCACAGTTGGCAAAATAACAAGTCTGATCTCACTCAGGGGAGAAGAGAAAACGTTCAACATCAGCAGATACTGTAGATGTCCCACAGACAGAAAAACTTACACCATGTTTAGTCATGTCCACATGTATGAGGTCACTGTTCCCTAATGGGTGCACAGCAACAAAATACATACTTTCCATATCATACACATCCAGCCAAATGCTAACGGAAACGCCTAAAATACTTCATGCTTACAATAAAAGAAATGTGGGTTGCATTGAATCTATTAATTTGGAAGAGCTTATGTTTGTCTGAGCCATGTGTCCCTGTTCCTGACACGGTGAGCTGTGACAAAGATTGAGCCCTGCTTGCAACATGTTCTAATCCCATTTAATCAACAATTTACTGATTAGGGCTAAACAATATTGGGGACAAAAAAAAAAAACCTGACATAGCGACATTTTGTTTTCATTCAGTATATAATGTGATATAAAAAATACAGGAATTCTTACCAGATTAATACTTGGAAAGAAAGAATCATTCTAGATTTTGTTGGGGAGTGCATCTGCAGAGAAAAAAAATTAATAATAATAAAAAAAAACTTTTAGTGTAAATCCCACAGCTCGGATTCAGTGCAAACTAACATGGTGGCGCCCATCACCCATTATAGATCAACTAACATGGTCATTATAAAGGTGTTTAAGCTACCAAATACATTTATTATATACAGATATTTCATAATATAGTAAACATATGTGAATATTTTGAGTAAAAATGAAATAAAAGTGATACACCGCTATTGTGGCTGCGGTATGTCATGTGACAAACACGATGCGTGGAAACAGTAAAGCGATACATTCTAAAATAATGCTGCGTTCAAGTCCTCCTGGGACGTTTGCACTTACGAGTTGACAAATTCTAATTACGACGTCAGGTGCGTTTAAGTCTCTTTGGTCGGAACAAGATGACAATTGAACTTTTCTACATAAAATTCAACCATTTTTAAAAAATCTAAATCTACAAAATGATGAATAAAAAATGTGTATCATTGTGTTTTTGCTTTTTTCTGTTTTTATTCAATTTATGAAGGTGATGTAAACTGAATCATTATATATTCTATGGTAATTAATATTTCGTACATGTAACTTGACAATTACATGTTCAACAAATTTACTGTCAAAACAGATGCTGGATATCTATAGTCTTTGGCTGCATCCATTGCATCCGACACGTTTTTTTACTGACACGCCCCCAACTCATATGCGTTCAACTCGTAATACGATCTATCCGACATGACTTGAACGCACCATTACTGTTGCCTAAAAAAACTCACAAACTTTGCATTGATTGAACGACAATATAAAATCCATTTACTGTGGCAAACACTGCTCACAATAGCATGAAATAGCATGACATGAAAGCCAATCAGTGATTTCTGCCCGGTGGATAGTTACGTGAAGTAGAAAACACTGGCTGTTACTGTCCAGTTCACTGTAACTGATATAAGGCCTTCGTGGTCCAGCCATCCCTCTGGCATTCACGGGAGCCAGAATCTAATTATTTTCCCTGCATGGTCCAATGAGCCCTAAAGGTTAATTATTGTCTGTCTGCATGATACCCGACTGCCAGTGCACAATAAAAGCTGTTAGTCACTGCAGATAGCAGCTAATGTCAGACTGTGTGTATCCAAGTGGCCGACATGAGTTACCAGGTGCAGTCATGAGGAGGATTCTATAGGAAACTTTCTTTCTGGCTTCATTTACTACGAAGACTAGCATGTTTGCTTTGCATTGCAGTGAAAAAATACTTCATAAAATATTTTCAGGGTAACTGACAACATGTAACAGATGCTCAGTAGAACATAAGTTGCATTGAACATGGAACAAAGCTACAAATTTTCCTTTTCCTTCTGAGAACAGTGATAATGCTAACATTCAGCCTAGCTTTACTTTGTCAGGCACAGCAGCTCCTCTTTAATCCCCTAAAAATACTGTCCTTCACTGGGCTGTTGCAAATTCTGGCCGATTTAGACAGCATCTGTGTGCTGTCTGTTCCCATGCACGTCATTGTTTAATTTAGTTTGTATATCAGAAAGAAGGCAAAAAACAGCAGTGACAGCTGGGGCCTTCACCAAATAATACCTCTCTTTCTCTCCTTTTCAATCACTAACTCTCTCTTTCAAGGAATACTTAGCCAGTAAACATGGAGGTCAACAGTTTTGAATCCTGCTGAACTTGAGTGAGGGTTGTGCACACGCAGATATGCAAGGCATACAGGCAGCTATCTATCTATCAATCTATCTATCTATCTATCTATCTATTAATTTATCCGTCCATATACTGTATGCATCTATATATGCATCTATACATCTCTTTATCCATCCAACCATCTATCTGTCTGTCTATCTATCATCTATCTTTCTTTCCATCTGTCCGTCCATCCATTGATGGCTTATTAAACTTTAAGTTTCAAGTTTAAAAATGGTCTTGACACACTTTGCATTTCTAGTTAAAAATTACTCTTATACGAGTTTCTTTGAATTGCAATTCTGCAATAACTTTTCCATTTAGAGTGTGAGGGGACCCTCAACAAGATCAAGAAGACAGGACAAAGAGTATTACTACATACGCTTAACTACACATTCTACATTATAGTAAAAAAAAAAGGTTCATAAAACAGCTTCATAAAAGGGTAGTAATCCATTAATTAAAATCTATTAAGGCAGGGTTAAAGTGAAGAAAGCCTAATTAGTTTAAATTAAAAACATTAGAAGTCTACGGAGATATTTCCCGTGCATAGCTGTACATGTTTGTGTGTATGTGAATGTACCTTGCGTGAGCAGCTGCAGAGTGCGGACCTCTTCTCTGACACGGAGCTGGAGGACCTGCTGTAGGATGTACTGTCTCTGACTCTCCTGCATGATGCCCATACGCTCCAACTTCCTGTCAGTGAGCCTCATCAGAGCTCGACCTGCACACACACAAACATATGAACATCAAACCAAGCTGGGCTGTACAAACAAAAAAAAAATTACAAATTGCACATTTATAACACATAAAGAATAACTGTACTTGCCATTTATAAAGAGCTATTATAACGCCCTTGTGGAAAAACGGATTGAGTATTGTAATAACCTACATTACAAGAACCTAATGAGAATATATTGTAATTAGTGAAACGAAATAGCCTGGAATTTTTTCCTCCAGCTAGAAATATGATCAAGGTCAGATGAAGTTCACTGTCATTTTTAATCATCGCCGCACAAATATTCTCCTCATATCTGTGCTGATAAAAGTCATAATAGTGCCTGTCAATGCCCCAGTTAACAGCTGCCATTTGTGCACAATAAAGTTAAAGCCATTGTACCATCTCACACAACGCCTTGAGGTAGCGAAGCAGAAAGGCTACTAATGCATTTACACCGATGAAAATTGTTAATTCGGTTGTTTTTCGTGAAAGAGACCAAACACTGCATCATTATCTACGGAAAGGACGGTATTCAGATGGAGCATAGTACAATTTTCAGTGATTATGTTGCATTATGAGTGTGGATGCTCTGCTCCTGTCACTTGCTCCCTCTCTCTCTTAATGGTCATGTGTTTAAATCGAAGCATGTCTCCGGTGAAGAGGAAAGCTACGTAGAACTGAAAAAAATTCACTGAAAGCTAGCCAAACAAACAATTTAGCTGACCCTTATCCACTGGAGAGCATTTCATGTGGTAATGCAAAAACCGGAAATTAAAAGGACAAAGGGGAACACAGAAAGATTAAGTACCACTGTTTATCAGCAAACGACAGGGCAGTCTGTAAAAAGTCAGTAAAATTACAATAATTAAAAAGGCAAGAAACATATGTTAGAAAATTGGAAATAAAATAATACATGTAATAAGCTTTATAATTAAAATATGCAATAAAAAATGGGGAGAAGGAAAAAAAAAACACTTCAGGGCATAATATCCTTTTTCACTGGTCCACTGGTTCAGATTTCTACTGTCCATGCCAATAATTTCTAGCCCTATCACAAATGATAAAAAACAGTAATATCTGTATTTTATTTGTATAAAAATACATAAAATACATTTTAAAATTCAATTCAATTAATTGTTTAGTAAGAATTATTTTCACATTTATCTAATTTTCCTACATCTATAAATATGTGACTATCACAGTTATAAATTCATAAACACGCACTTGCTGGAAAATTATAGATAGCATATGGTAATTTGTTTTTAAATATTCAAACCATTCTAACTGATATAGATCACAAATCACTCAGCAAAACCTCCGCTCTATATTATAATAATAATAATTATGTTACATTGGTGACATTTAAATCAGTATAATTAGCAACAACAATATTCACCACATTACAAAAAGCCAAATGCTTTAATCTGCAAGGCATAAAACAAATATACATGATCATCAAACGTCTCAACACAGTAACTGACTCCAAATTTACACTGGCCCTGGGCCATCGGGCCCTCCGTATTGTTGAGTCCTGCGCTAGATACATTTTGTGAACATTTTATTATCTTATGTAGTATTGTTTCTCTGTTAAATTTAAGTGATTTGACGTTCATATATATTTCTTTGGTAAAAAGTCCGATACTAATGAAGAACGAGATTCTTTTTCTTTAGAGTCATTTTATAGGACAGCCTACAATAAAGCAATATAAGAACAAAAAAATCCTTTTTCATGCGTCTGATCAACTCAAACTGTATCACATTTTGATGCCATCTATATTTCTAAATAGAATACTGAGGCGCTATGAGCACAGATGGGGCCTCTTTAGTCACGGAACATTAGAAGCAGAAAATTGGAATATGTGTGAGGCGTGTAGGTTGAGGTGATCGGGGTAAGGTATTTCAGTACGTTGGTAGAGTGCCAAACTACCCCTTCATTTGGCAGCATTTGGCTGAAACGCCTCAATGAGGAACAGAAACTCAGCGTGCCTTCTCTCTGAATCACTGCCATAAGTGTTTCACTGAGAAGATGAGTCAAAGCCTGGTTAAAGAAGAGAAGAGAGTATGAAAACAGGAAAGAAAGAAAATAAGAGCGGAATACATATACAGATGGGAAAAGAGTTACAAATGCAAGTGCATGAGAAGAAATGGGAAAGGTGCTATTCTAAATAAATAACTGTCCAACCAAAACATTTGAGATGTTTCTTAGATGTTACTTAGCAGGAAAAACGGGTCACTGGGTAACAGCTGTCTCAGCAAGATAAGGATGCAAAAGAATTTAGTCTGGTAGAAAACAAAAAAGCATGAATTATTGTCTGCTATAGACACAAGATATGTTGGCCATCTATTGCGCAAATGACATTACACATAGAGCTTCACTTAAAGATGATTCAAAAAAGAAATATCTTCTAATATTTGAGTTTTTTTAGACTATTCCCAAAAACCATATTGAAAGCTAGCTTAACAAAACAATCTGCAAAATGCAAAAATTGACTATTTCTGTAAAAGGAAAAAGAAGGACAAAGAAATGTATTACAACTATACTGCGCAGTCTGTAAAAAAATGTTTTAATTTAATGTATTACTATTTGTAAAGGAATATTAAATAATTATAATAAAAATAATGAGAAATTAAATGTGTTACATGCTATAAAGAATATGCAGCCTGTGCATCATGTGTTTGTTTGCTTTGAGTGGTGAAAATGGCCTTTTCATGTTTTAATGACCGTTAAAGTCTCTTCCCACACCTTACAGTAGGAGCTGAGCCAGGTGTCAGTGCAAACACCATCACTGCGGTTTTCTTTGTTCACGTTCCTGTGTCTACTTATCTTTGTGCAACTGACAGAGAAATGGTTTAAAAAATTGAACAGCATCTTGGATTTCAGCATACTGATCAGCCGGAAATCACGCTCCACACTTGGCTTCTTCTGAATACTGTTGTGACTGTTATCCAGTGCTACTACAATAACCATTTAACAAAGGCTACAAGCTCAAATCAGTGCCTAAAAGATGCATACACAAAAACCAAAAGGTCAAGGTTTAGCAGGTTAGCATGAAGCAGTCAGCAGTTATTCAAAAGTAGTAGATGAAATGGTTTGCAAGCAACATTTAAATTCACAAACATATCATTATATTATAGGAGCTGCAATCCACATATGTGAGACATTAGGGCAGATAAATTCACTCTCCTTCTCCCTCCGGTTTCTGGACTGGCATACTCGTCTTCAGTCCTGATGAATGGATTAGCTTAAAGCTCTCTCTCCCTCCACTGTCACTCTAGGGACCTGTCCCTTTTACATGTGAACCAAAAGCCTGGCTAATTACTGCTCCAACAACCAGGAGGGATGACAGACAGAAAGAGAGAGCGAGAAGGGGGCTGGGGTGGCTCTGGGGCCTATAAAGATGGAAATTAACCTCAATTTCTCTGACAAAACTCTCATGGTGAACAAGCAGGACTGTACTTGAGAAACACTGAGGCTGCTTGGACTGGTGAAGGAAACTCCTCAGGTGATACTGTAGCATACTTCACATAGTTTAACCGCAGCTGCATTCATAAGTCCCAAGAGGACCTTTCATACTCTCATTCTTTCTGTCACACATACACACACATATAGACACACAACCTGGCAGGCTCGCTAGCCCCTCAAACTATCACAGAGCCTGAGTGCATAGCTGCCAAGTACGTCCCTACGCAGATCCATACAGAGTACCATCCAACAGGCAAGATTATGCTGCAAAATTGCCTACTTTACATGGCAGAGGACCAAATACTAGATGAAAAATGCCAGTGAGAATTCGAGAAAATCTGTAAATCTGATGCTGAACAGAACGTTCTGCTACATTTACTCGAAAAATGGAAGAAATTCATTTTTATATATTACATTATTTTCTATATTACATATATCATCAAATGGTGAAATGTCAAAAATTCAGCATTTCAGCATTTTTCAATGTTTTTTTTTAATGTAGTAAAATAGTATTATAAAGAAACCTTTACATTGTTCTCATTAAAATTACTAACATTTATAAAGTAAAACATTTGGTTTGGACCTGGTAAGCATAAACATTGTCAGTGAAGTTCATGTAAGTTCAGAAGGATTGATGTAAGGTTCATATTAACCTGTTTCAGTAACATGACTTTTCTGTTCAACCGCCATATAGTTATATACAGAAATATAAGCCTAAAGTACAAGTGTAGAATAAAAAATACGAGGTCAAGTCCTGCAACGGCTTATCTTCAGTGTTCCTAAAGTTCCTAGGACATCCCTAGGACAACTTAATAAGTTCAAATCACTTGAAGTAGATTGAACTGTTATCATTATTTGGACTGTCCTGTTGCGGAGCCCATACTGATCACTAGATAAGAGGACAATGGCATTTGGCATTTAATCAAAAGAGGGCAGATAGTAAGAGTTACAGGGATGAATAGAACATAAGGAGAGAAAGGGAGAGAAAGACACCAATGCTTAGCGATGTGCATTTGTGCTGGCAACAACCCCACACTTGATTGTGAACGTAACTTCTACTAAATGACTTCAAGGAGGAAAATCAGCATAATTTTAAAGCGGTTTAAGTGTGTAAATATAAAATACGTTCTCATATCCCACCTTAATATGAAAAGACAGCCTTAAGTAAGTCATCTGCAGGCACTGTGGCAATATCAAAGCATTGCTCTTTTTGTTTGAGGATCCCGACCAGCCTGACATAGCAATAGTGGCTCAACCAATGGTGTGAGTTTGGGGGTGGGGCTTGTGCTTGTTAGACCAATAGCAGACGGGGGCAGTTTTTATCTAGAAACCTGTTTGACAATAATTGTTGCAATACCATTTGGTGGCTCTAGTGATGCAGAAATTTCACCTTAGCACATTCTGATTTTAAAAAACAACATTTTTTGAAAAAACTAAAATCAGTCAACAGGGACTTTAGCAATGTGACCATTATGAATGAGCAGTCATAACATACCATGTCTTTCACATGACATACGCATTTGGAAAGATCCTATAGCAAAATTTGATGCTTTGCCGCAGGCCTCCATTTCCCCAGAATGTAAATCTGCAGCATTATCAAGATACTCATTATACTTCATCCAGAAAAACATCAGTTGTGTGAATCATCCGCTACATACAGTGGCATGCAAACAGCTCACCTCTACATCCATCAGAACACGACTATTTCCTCTTTTATTACTAATAACAGCTATAAAATGCTTGAAAAAGTGAGTGATCACAATCAAATTATTAATTGCTAATGTAGCCATCAATAGACTAACACTGTACACAGTCCCCCCACCCCTCAGAATACTTCAAAACACAAACATTGCAGTAGTTTCATTCAGGCCACATCATGTTCTTATCCTCCAACATCACCACAATTCAATCTGATTTTTCCTCTCCATCCTTCTCCCCAGAATACTGAAAAATTGATCTGATGGCTCTGAATTGCATCCCTGCGGAACACTGCAATTTCAGACGCTCATACCTCATCATCCCGCTCGCGGAAATCACCGCCACGCTACCGAAGGCTGAAACTGTGCTGTTCTGTGAAGACATCGTGCTGAATCCCAAATATACACGACTGCTATCTGAAGCCCTTGAAGTCAGAAGTCTAGGGTTGAATTACATTGGGATTTAGCAGATTATTCAGATATAATTGGCATATTTCTTCCCTAACTTTAATGAACCTTTTATTATAACAGCAAAAAATATAATATGAATGGTTAAGATCCATTGGTATCACATTAACAACACAAATTCCAGGTTTAATGGCAATTCCAACAAATGAAAGAGACGATGTATTTTTGATTCAGTCTCAGATAATCAGAGTACTGTGCATTTCAGCTCAATGAGATCATTCAGAAAACCTTCAGTCTATGCTGCTTTTCACCAGCTATCTCAACGTCATCACATCTCTGATGGTCACTGAACAGCACACTGAAAATAATGGAAAGTACCAAGTAAAAAAATCCAGCAAAGAATGCATATAACATGGAACAGCTGCAGTCACTGCTGTGAAGACGTCATTACATGCAGTTTAGACAGGATTGTGTTAGGGGGTGTGACGTCAAGTCGATGTTTAGTTTGGGTCCTTTGATTCAGCCCAGAGTGGAAGCTGGGAATGTTTTGTAGAAAACATCATTGCAGCTATTTATGTGTTAGGGCTGAATATGTGTTTAACTCCAAAGCAATCATGTGTTGAATCTTTTAAGATCTATTAATATCTTAAAAAGAGGCATTTCAGCAAACATCAGATTTTCTATGTCCATTTTACAACATATAATTTTCATGTTAAATATGAAACTCAAATACATATAAATTCACTCTTATGAAAATGTCAGCAGAAAGATCAAATTGGGACTGCATGACAAATGCAGTCTACATAGTCCATAAAAAAGCTCATATACTTCGCCAAGACCACCAGTGTGCTGCCTGATGGGAGTCTCTTTTACATGAGTTGTTTATAACTCTTATTAAAGTCAAATAAATAAACCCAATGTCTCACCACACCCAGTATTCTCTGGACTGATCTGACCAGCAGTGAGCCAGAACGCCTGCACAAACATTGACTGTCCAGTGCATGTGGAAGCACGAGAAGAGCCAGCTTACTAGGAACATCCCAGCTGGATTCCTTTATCGTGTCAACAGAAGATCTGTCAAACTTTCCTTTTTTTCCTGTAAAACCACAGAGAATGAATGATCCAATTCCCACACCAGACCGAACAGTGGCATTTTTCATAATTGCTGTGAAACATGTCTCAAAAATGGACACTTGGGTTACAGTGACACCATAAGTCAAAGTGTCCACTTCAGATTTTATTGCTTAAATCCAAAATTTGATTATGCTTGTTCACATGACTTTTTAAAAGCACCACATAATAGACTGGAGAAGCAACCCTGGTATTTATTATTGTGTTTTATTTATTATAATTCATTAATAATATGTACATGATACTCTTTACAGTAAATCAAGGGAACAATTATTACATTGCTTTAAAAACAAAAACAACAAAAAAGCAATAATTCTGACCTGGCTGTTTTAACTGATGTGTTATGATGCATTTGAAATTGAAATTTGATTAATATCCAGTATTTGTTCAATTTAAAAAAAAAGCCCAGACTGTAATAGACAATGCCATTTAATGTGGTTTTGTCATCGGTTTTGTCCGGTTTTGTCCGATTTGTCATCCATAAAACAGATCTGACATTCACAGTCTTATGATAGACCTTGCGTACATACATATATATAAAAAAAACACTGGCACAACGCTCACTACAGTTCATGAATGAATATCTAATTTTAATGTCCAATTAGACATTATCTGTCTAACAACAGCTGGTTATTTAACAAGCATTAATTGTGGTATTATATAGTGTTGTGTTTTCATAACCCTACTGTGCTGTGGCCCATGGGATTGATATCTATTTGAAATCCAGCCAAGAGTTTCATTGTATCTGACAGAGCAGCTCTGGTTCAGTCATTCTCTCTTATCTTCTTGGCTGTATATTACACAAAATGAGTGCACCTTCTCCCCTGATTACACCTACGCTATCAAAAATATGTGCTTAACTCATTTACCAAAGCACTCGCTGCCTCTGTCTTTGTAATTACTGCAGATTAGGGACTAATATCTAATTATGCCTTAATATGCTTTAATGCATTTTTAATGACAGCTCGGTGTTCCAGTCAAACTCTCAGAGCGATTTGGGAGATGTGTCGAAGCGGTGAGGGAGAATCTCAACAGTCATATGTTGGCGATGCAAAGGTTTATCTTACTACGCTCTGGTTCAAACGGAAACAAACCGACACTTAATAGTAAGTATTAGTAATTAGGTAACTTAATAGTTAGTAATTTCACGCTCTCTCAAAGCTTTATTTAAGGCTGCCTGTGCCTGGTTTGATGTAAAGCTGAATGAAAGCGCTTGCGAATTCTTCAAAAATCCTCTGAATTTCAGAATGAATGGACTCTAAAATGTGATCTGATGAAGACATAACGATTAATCAATAATCAACTCCACATCCCTTGAAGCTCTGATGGATGCATTCTTTTTTAACTTTTTGAAACAATAAAAAAAAAAAAAATGAATTAAAAATAAACCTAAATGACATGCAAATTCTCAGACAAATGTTTTAATCTAAAGATAAGATAAAATAAGATTGTTGTTAAGAAGAAAAAAATGTTCATCACATAATATAGTCCAATATTAGATGATTCTGCAGATGTATGGAATTCAACTGATGTGCAAATGATCAAATGATCTGCATCTCATTCATTCAGATTTGTTTAAAATTATTAACATGCAGATAGATACACACCGTGGTATGGAAGAAAACCACACCAGAAAGCATCTGTTTAATGTGCTTTTGCACAAACAAGTTAGTTTTTAACAATGTAGTCTTGTGATTTGGCACTGATCTATCTCTGTTTACTCTAATGAAATGTGTTGTGCTATGCATGGTATGACCAGAGATGGATGCAAATTGTATTATGTCTCTAATTGGTAAGGCCTGATGTTTATGACCTGATTCCTGTTAATTAATACTGGATCGTCAAATCGAGCAGCTTGCATATTTTCTGCAAAAATTATGGCTAATTGGATCACGCATCACCCTAATGCAAATCACATTCACAATTCTTCCAGTCAAACTAGAACAATCCAGAATGGACATAACATTGCTTTAGTTAGCATTACTCACGACAGTTGGCCAAATCATGATAAATCACCACAAGAACTTTTCATCAAGAGACCTTGGAAACTGAACATTTTCAGGACGACTGCTCTTGATTAAAGGACCTCAGTTCATCAGCACTGTGCAATTATGCTACTGCAAAGAAAGTCATGATTATAAACAAAGCAGAGCAAATCACTCCATGATCTATTTGACCGCAAAGATTGATTTTGGTTTACTGTATCTCATCTGACATCTTGGGACTATAAGACAATTGACCCTGATTTACAACTACAAATTTTAACATTTGTATTTTATAAAATCAAAAATGACAATGTTAGAGTTGTCAAAAGAATAAATTATATATAAATGTAATAAATTGTATATTATAATTATATATTGTTTTTTTTAAAAAGTACAAAAACGCAATAAAATTTAATAATACTAATTTTCTCTTAATAACATAACATAACATCGGGCTGTACGAGTAAACACCTCCAAAAATGTTAACATATTGGATTTTGATGCTATGCCTGCACCATGCAAGCAATTCATCTCTATGATGCTTCTTGAAGTAAAAACACATTAAAGCACAATACAACATGAAAAACCGTGGTACATTCATCCATCACTAGTTAGGTTACAACATTAAAACGACACAAGCATACATAAATTCCCCCGACATGCCTCCTCAACTACACAGGAACCCCTGCTGAGCTAATAAACATCAGAATGCAATCATCTAGGCTGAGCCGGCAGCAATTAATGGCAGTGCCATTATGAATGTCTTAATGTAAGTGGAATGTGTGCGTAAGCATTGGACTGTGGGTATTTGACCTTGGACAAGATCATTGTAAGACTGACAGGGTGCCTGTGTTTACCTGTGATGTCGTGCTGCTTGAAGGAGTCACTGTAGACTTGGTGTTGATTGGGACAGTGTTTCTTCAGCCATTTACACACGTCCTGCTGGCTCCACAGGGCCACGGGTTTGGACAGCTTCACAGTTCCCAGCTGGGCAAGGGAAAAAGATAACAGAATGTAAATGCAGAATCTTTTCACCTCTTCCCCAGAATAAAAAATCTGTCATTATTTGCTCACAGTATTGAAGCATTCAAGATTCCAAGCCTTACAGAAGTTGTTATTCACAGAAAATATTCATTTTTTTCATCATAGTTTGTGCTATATACAATACCTAAATGGTGAATGAATCAGATCTTTTCAATAAATTGGTTGAACCACTTCACAAAACAAGTCAGAACGATTCATTTATTGTACAAATGATCTGGTTCTTAAGTTCAATTTACTGATCATCAGTGAATAAATTTCACTTGATACTAGGGCTGCACGATAAATCGCATGTGATATTTAATGCGCATCTTGTCAGAAAGCCGGTTCTGTAATCAGCGGTAAATGTCCATCACGTGCGTGCTTTCACATTGAGCAGCATTAACGACACAGAGCCGTTGTTCACTGACGAGCTGCGCAAAAAAT